GTTCGAATCCCGTCAGGGGCACGACGTTGTGTGTAATTGTCATAGGCACTTTACACAAATTTTCCTCACTTCACCCAGCAGGAAATGAATACCCGGCTATAGACAATGAACGATCTTGTCATTTTTGTTAGTGTTTGAGCGCGTGAAATCCGCAGCTTGCACTGTATGCTTCCCGAGAAACCGAAAATGTTTCCAAGTGTTCTAGGGTTTGTTAGGGTGAGAACAGTTGTAGAGCGCATAGAACTTGCCGGGGAGCGTGGATATGTGGTCGCTTTGAAGGACAAGCGGGCTATCTTCCTAGATTTCGGGAGTTTCCAGAAATCTTGACCAACACCAAAAGTACGCATTGCCCTACCTATAGAACAAGTTTGGTTTCATTGCTGTGTGTATTTCTTTGGTTATAGAGAAAACTCTCTTTGCCTTTTAAAGAAACTAAACAAGGGGCAAAAACTTTGCCTTCGATTTTCCCAAAACAGCATTTTTCGGGACAGCCCCCTTGTGCCTTCAATGTTGCCAGTGAGAGCCAGATGTTCAAGACCCTTATGTCTACTCAGGTGGGTGTCCCAAAAACTTCATTTAATTTGTCGTTTCCTGCTTGTTTTTTTACATTGAGCGTCTCACGTTCTCATAGACTCAACTAATTAACACCCATCTCAACATTATAACATTGACAAAAGCTGGGCGTCCAATACACTGTCACTGTGTAATCTCTTTGAGGACCGAGCCACGAATACTGTACAGAAACAACACAAGTTCCCCGTCACTCACCTCTTCAACTTCTGTCAGTTATCTGGGTCAGCCAAGACCTCTTTTCACATTTTTTTTCTCCAGCGAAAGCAAGATATTTAAGGCTGTGATTTTAATTTATGTTGATTCAAGTGTTTGTTTTAGTGAGAGTTTTACGGCACTCGCAACACAACTGCAATTTTTTTTATATGTCATAAATGTGGTGTATCCAAGTGTCCCAGGAACCGCGCTGCTTGCAAAAGCTTTATTAGAAAAATCAGGGTGAAAATATTTATGAAGTTGCGCGTAACCTCGCTAGGCGGCAGCTCAGATTTCTCTCTCTCTCTCTCTCT